CCTGCTGGAAGTAGGCCGCAAAGCGGTGTAGATACTGGTCATAGGGCAGCATGGCCTGCGTCTCACACCCGAAGCAGTTGATGTACCAGACACCCAGCAGAGCCAGCAGGACGGGGGCGTTCTTCTCCAGGGGTGTCGTACGGAAGTGCTGGTCCTGAAACCAGAGCAGGGTGGGTGGGAGCTGAACAGCCACCCTGGAGGGAGGGGCGGAGGGAGCTGGACCAACCAAATGTCTCTGGCAGAGAACACAAGCCTCAGCTACTTACCATCCAGTGGGCCCCTGAGAGCAGCTGCTCGAAGTTGTCAAATCCTGCGACACAAAAGCAGCGTCAACAGAAACGGTCATGCCCAGTGCCCTCGTGGCAGCGGACACAGCTTCTTTTTGCAACCAAGGAAAAGCTGACGCTGACGTGCAGCCAGAAGAAACAGGACCTGGGAAGACCTGGGCCTACAGAAGGCTCTCTAACCAGAGTCAGCCTTGAGCGCAAAGGCCGATCTAACTTCACCTACCACAGGAAACGACGGGACAGCAGGTGTGAGGGGTAGAGAGAAAGGCCAACCTGCAAACGCCAGAGAAAGTCAGGCCCGCCCTCCTAACCTGAAAGAAATGTTCCAGCCAAAGGGACAGAAGCCAGTGGCCTGTGGGGTCAGAAAGGTGTTCAGGGACATGAGACCCCCACCCCTGACCGTAGACTACAACGTGGTCTCCCAAGACTAAAACACACACTCACCCACATGCAGTGCAATGGAGAGTCCAATGGCTGACCACAGCGAGTAGCGTCCTCCTACCCACTAGGAGAGACAGGAAAAGGTGCTGCAGAAGGGTTGGCACACCCCGCCCCCCACCCTCCTGCCACAAAACTTGCCCCCTGAGAGCAATGCTCTTCCACAGTGCAGCATGGAGGGCCTGGGCCCAACCCACCTCTAGGAAGCAAGACAGCAGGCCAGGCGCTGGCAACTCTTTGTGCTGACCAACGGGGCAGACTATGTGGGACTGATCAGAGCCACAAGACTCAACTGAAGACCTTACCATGGCTGGCCCTGTCTCCTCAGACACACAGACAGACCCAGTACCTCATACTTGCACCAGGCCCAGCCTCCTCCTCAGACAGACAGACCCAGCGCCTCATACCCACGCCAGGCCCAGGCTCCTCCTCTGACAGACAGAGAGACCCAGCGCCTCATACCTGCGCCAGACCCCACCTCCTCCTCAGACAGACAGACCCAGCGCCTCATACTTGCACCAGGCCCAGGCTCTTCCTCTGACAAAAACAGACCCAGGGCCTCATACCTGCGCCATGCCCAGGCTCCTCCTCTGACAAAAACAGACCCAGGGCCTCATACCTGTGGCAGGCCTCCGCAGACAGACCCAGCACCTCATACCTGCACGAGGCCCAGGATCCTCCTCTGACAGACCCAGTACCTCATACCTGCGTGAGGCCCAGGATCCTCCTCGGACAGACACAGACCCAGGGCCTCATACCTGCGCCAGGCCCAGGATCCTCCTCGGACAGACACAGACCCAGGGCCTCATACCTGCGCCAGGCCCAGGATCTTCCTCGGACAGACACAGACCCAGGGCCTCATACCTGCGCGAGGCCCAGGATCCTCCTCTGACAGACAGACCCAGCACCTCATACCTGCGCCAGGCCTGGCCTCCTCCTCAGACAGATAGACCCAGTGCCTCATACCTGCACCAGGCCTGGC